TCCTGTCAGGAAGGAGATCTATTGTGTGAGAGTCTGAGAGCGACACTAGACTTCAGGAGGGGTTCACTTTCACCGCGAGTCCACGGGGAACGGGGAGAACAAAAGAACCTGCAGACATTCCACACGAGTGACAGCGACGGAACCGTTCTCTAATTTGATCGCATGGTGATACGTAGACATCACAACTCATGATGAAGCAGCAACTGAAAGAGTCAAAAGAGCTGAGAAAACCAAAACAATCCATTTCAATTCAATGCAAGTTTATTTATAAATCGCCAAATCATGACAGGAGTCGTCTAAAGGACCTTCACATAATAAACAAACATAATCCAGACTACCAGCGACATCAGAGCTACGAGGAAGAAAGCCGAGGGCTGAGAGGGAACAACAAGCACAGTAAAGGAATTTCCTATTCTACTCTACTCTACTCAATTGTATTCTGTTCTATTCTATTCTACTCTACTCAATTGTATTCTGTTCTATTCTATTCTACTCTACCCTACTCTACTCTGTTCTATTCTATTCTATTCTACTCTACTCGATGCTAAGCGAATTGATTCTATTCTACTCTGTTCTATTCTACTCTATTCGATTTTACTCTACTCTACTCTGTTCTAGTCTATTCTACTCTATTCGATTTTATTCTACTCTACTTGGTTATAGTCTATTCTACTCTACTGTTCTATTCTACTTTACTCTGTGCTATTCGATTTGATTCTACGCTATTCTATTCTATTCTATTCTACTCTATTCGATTTTACTCTACTCTACTCTGTTCTAGTCTATTCTACTCTACTCTACTCTGTTCTATTCTACTCTACTCTATGCTAATCGAATTGATTCTACTCTACTCTGTTCTATTCTACTCTACTCTACTCTACTCAGTTCTATTCTACTCTACTGTACTCTACTCAGTTTTATTCTACTCTACTCTGTTCTATTCTACTCTACTCTGTTCCATTCTACTCTACTCTGTTCTATTCTACTCTGCTATGTTCTATTCTACTCTACTCAATTGTATTCTATTCTATTCTACTCTACTCTGTTCTATTCTACTCTACTCAATTGTATTCAGTTATATTCTACTCTACTCTGTTCTATTCTACTCTACTCAATTGTATTATGTTCTATTCTACTCAACTTGATTCTACTCTACTCTGTTCTATTCTACTCTATTCTACTCTTCTCTACTCTACTCTGTTCTATTTTATTTTATTTTATTCTACTCTACTCCACTCTACTCTACTACATTCTATTCTATTCGATTTGATTCTACTCTATTCTATTCTACTGTACTCTATTTGATTTGATTCTACTCTACTCTACTATATTCTATTCTGTTTGATTTGATTATACTCTACTATGTTCTATTCTATTTGATTTGATTTGATTCTACTCTACTGTACTCTACTATATTCTATTCTATTCTATTGTACTCTACATGAAGTAGTGGCTTCCTAGACAGCACAGTTCTGTCCCCTTACCCGTTCCTCATTAGCTTACACGCGGACACTGATGCTTGCTAACCGGACGCTACAGGAAGACTGGATCTGAGTCAGGTTACAGAAAAACGAGCAGCCGTCTGACTGACTGTACTCTTCTCTAAAGACCACTTCCTTTTCACCACATTCATCACTGAAGAGTGTCCTTGTGAAAATGGTTTCAAAGGACATAAACACATGAAAATAGGTCGATATTAGAAGCAGAAAAATTATAAATGTCCCAAAAAATATATAGTTGAGTATGAAATGTGAAAGAAACGGGAACAAGTGACTGACTCAGCACTGAAACAATCAAGTCGACAGAAGGAGGGCAGGTGTGGGGTTACTGACCCGTATGTAGTTAGCGTTGATGTAGGAGCTCAGCGGGTCGTTGCTGCTCCTAGACTTCAGGATCACTCTGGAATGAGGATCTGAGATAGAAGAAGAGAAAGAAATAACATTAATAACCACCACCATGGTTTGACTCTGCTTATTCATTTCTCCACATTGCAAACCCAAGTTTGTGAAAGTTGAGGCTGATTAACCAAAGGGATTAAATTAAGATCCAGGCATGATGCTTTGGGCCAATCAGAACATTCCTTGTGGACACAGGCCTTCTGCTTTGGTACCAGACAACGTCCGGGGAAGAGACATTGAAAAGGTAAACTCTTCTAAGTACCGGGGTGTTCACCTGAATAACACACTGGACTGGAGCCACAACTCTGATGCCCTTCTCAGGAAGGGTCAGAGCAGACTCTAGCTGCTGAGGAGACTGCAGGAGGACTCCTAAAGACCTTCTCTGACTCAGTGGTGGCATCAGCCATCTTTGATGGGGCAGCAGCTCATCTGCTGCTGAGAGTCAGAGATTAGATAAGTTCATTAAGATGGCCATCCTTGTCTTAGGATGTCCCCTTGATCTAGTGCAGGAGGTGTGAGAATGAAGGACTCTAGCAAAAACAACACGCCTCTTTTAGAAAACAATGACACCAAATTGCAGTAAAGCTGAGGCGGCATCAGGG